GCTGTAGCTGCCAGTGCCGCTGTCATGGCGTCGGAGGCGCTGGCTGAGGAGAACCCGCCGCGGTCTCTTTAGAGCGAGGGGCGGGCGGCTGGGTATGGAGAGCGGCCCCGAGAGCCTGCAGCCGCTAGAACAAGGGGTGGCCACCGGGCCTGCGCCAGGGACAGCTTCTCCGCAGGAAGGGCGACAGGAGACCAGGCTCGCCGCTGGGGATGGTCCCGAAGTATGGGCGGCGGAGAGCAGCGGCGGGAATGGGCAGGGGGCGGCGGCCGCCGGGAGGAGCCTCGCGGACGCGGTTTCTCCCTCCAGCTCTCCTCAGGTTCCCCGACCCCGCAGCTCTTTCCGGGGCTTGGACTTGCAGGAGAGCGATTTGGAGAGTCCTGCTGCTCAGAAGGTGCCTCTGAGAGGGCAGCACAAGGTGACCGCCTCCCCGGAGACAGCCGAGGCCGGAGCCGGCCACGGGTTGGGTCCTGCGGGAGACTCGGGCGCCCGGCCTCATCCCGCCGGCACCTGCCGACCGGAGTTGGTGGCCTCGGGCTCCGAAGAGCCCAGCAGCGCTGGCGGCCTCAGCAGCAGTTGCAGCGACCCGAGCCCTCCCGGGGAATCGCCGAGCCTGGACTCCCTGGAGTCGTTCTCTAACCTGCATTCTTTCCCCAGTAGCTCCGAGTTCAACAGTGAGGAAGGAGCTGAGAGCAGGGTCCCCGAGGAGGAGGAGGGCGGCGCGGCGGTGTTGCCCCGGGCTGTGCCTCTGTGCAGAGGGGAGGAAGAGGAGGAGGGGGAGGCAGCTCAGGTGCTCGCGGCCTCCAAGGAACGCTTCCCGGGACAATCTGTCTATCACATCAAGTGGATCCAGTGGAAGCAAGAGCACACACCCATCATCACTCAGAATGAGAACGGACCCTGCCCTTTGCTGGCCATCCTCAATGTTTTGCTTCTGGCCTGGAAGGTACATCCTACAGCTTCCTATTTCGTATAGCTTTTGGGGAGGAGGGAAACAGGGTAGGGGAGCTGCTGCATATCAGCTGATGGCTTCTTCCTTTCTTTCCTCATTCATCAGTTCCCTTTTCTTATTACAAGAGATTCATTCGGTGACTCCTTTGTTGAAAGCATATTGTACGTATATCAGAAAGAATTGCTGGCAACCTCAGGTCTCTCTTGTGTTTATTTAAGAGTTTAACATTAAGTTGTGGCTGATATACTTACAAAAAACTAGGACTTCGGGCATCCTAAACTCTACGATTATTTTTAAACTATATTTTTCTATGTTATTTCTTCTTATTGATTTTATCACATATGCAAAAGAGTGAATAATAGGGGAAAATGATTTTCAGAAGTTATCATCAATCCATGACGTCAAGGACCAAGTTCTGATGGTTTAGTCTATTTTCCAACTAAAGCTGGTTCCATTTGGGTGTGAATACTTAAGGAAATGGTGATAGGGAAGATGTGGCCCCTTAGACAAATTCCATTTAAGGAAGAGTATTGGTCTGAGACCCAATTACCACTTCTTGATGTTCAAAGATTATATTTTCAATTTATGCATGATTTTTACTTGCCCCATTTCTTTGGCTCTTCTTAAATAGTTTGACATTATCAGCAGTAGCCACAAATCAGAATGTGTCAAGGGGGCTAAAATTTTAACAACTACAATAAGACAAGATATATTCAAGGTAAAGGCCTTCAAAAGTAAGTATATTGAGGACTCCATGAATTATCTATAAATGGAGTGTCTTATTTGAGCTTGCAGTTTTTAAGGTACTGAGATACATCTAATAGCATATTTTATTTTCAAATTGATAATTGTGTCTATAGATAAAATGTTCCCTAGAAAAAAACAACCTGGAGTATTCTGACTAGTTAGGGAGAAAATCAAGTTAAGGGTATAGTACTTATTATGTGCCTTCATCTTCCTGTTACTAGAAAGGGTTGATGCAAAAAAAATAAGATTAGAAACCTTACCAGTATCTGGTACACACTGGCACTCAAATGTTTTGAATGAAAACTGTGCCTGCTCTTTAAGAACTGTTGAGCTATTTGGGGTTGCAGCATTGACTTACTTGAAATTATTAAAGAACAATGCAAGACAATACACTATAAATATTAGGTTATAGGCAACAGATTGAAATGCATTAGATATTCCAAAGGGGGAAATTTTCCTTTTGTCTGGCATAGTCCCAAAGAACTTCCTGAAATCTTGGGGTCTTGAACCAAGATTTTAAGGAAAAGTAGAATTAAAATAACAAGGAAATGAAATTCCTGGGAGAGAGCAGAGTATAAACAAAAGGGGAAAAAATAGAATGGAGAGTGTGTGCGTGTGTGTGTGTGTGTGTTTATTGGATGACAGAAGTGGTCAGTTTTCATATTGAAGAATAAGAGAAAATAAAATTGAAAGGTAAAGAAGAGCCACTTGATGCAGGCCCTTGAATGTTAGACTAGGGAATTAGACTTGACCCTGTGGTCCAGAGTTCCCAGTCTTTTTGTAGGAAGGTATAACAGTTTCCTTTAGGCTTTTCTTTCTTCATTTCTATATAGTACTGCAGAAGTTCAGAGGAAGGAACAAATACTATGGAATATTTGGGGATAGATGAGCATCAGACTGACTCTTTGAAAGACATGACTTCAAGTGAATGATCAAACATTTGGGTTCCCAGTATGTGAGGTACTAAAAATACAGAGAACAGTAATATGCAAGTCTGCCCTCATGTAGGCCACTATTAGTGGGGAGAACAGCAGTTACGGTGCACTGTGAGTTCTAAATGTGCTATAGAGTTACTATGTGCTATGGGTAATTGGGGATGGGATGTGTCAAGAGAAAGCTTCAAAGAAATGATAACCTATGAAGTGGGCCTGAGAAGGATGAGTGAGAGGCCTTCCAGGCAGAGGGAGTACTGTATTCAAAGATGCTGAAGCAGAAAAAGGTTTGTTCTATTTGGGGAGTACAGTGGAGGAGGGAAAGAAAATGCAGTAGCAGGAAATAAAATTGATAGGTGGGGTTAGACTGTGAATAAGCAGGCATGCTAATGAATTTGAAGATTATTTTATAAAGCTGTGATTCTTAGTCTTCCTTCTGCCTCCAGGCTATTGCTGCACACAAAAGTTACTAGTCCGTAATCATCAGTGATTGATAGGAAGACAGATTAAAAGAATCAAGGTCAGGTAGATCAGTGTTCTTAAAGTGAACCAGGGGTTCTAGAGGTCAAAATGATTTTCATATTAATACTAAGGTCTTATTTGCTTTTTCCACTCTCATTCTCTCACAGCTGTCAGTGGAGTTTTCTAGGCTGCATGATGTGTGATGACATCATTGCTCTGACAGTTAATGGAATGTGTGCTTGTGTATTCTTCTGTTTAAAATTTTTCTGTTTTCATTTTCAATATGGTATTTTTAAAAAAATATATCTTTACTGATTTCAGAGAGAGAAAGAGAGAGGGAGAGAGAGATAGAAACATCAATGATGAGAGTCATTGATTGGCTGCCTCCTGTGCACCCCCTACTGGGGGTCTAGCCCACAACCTGGGCATGTGCCATGACCAGGAAATCGAGCCGGGATCTCCTGGATCATAGGTTAATGCTCAACGGTTGAGCCATGTTGGCCAGGCAGTATGGTAAGTATTGATAGATGTAACCCACATAGACAAAAGCTCTTTGGGGACCTCAATAATTTTAGGACTGTAGAGGGTCCTAAGACCAAAAAGTTTGAGAAATGGTATAGTAGAAAAAAATAGTAAACAGGGTATGAGTTTTCAGATTTCAGAGGACCTATCACTGGGTGAATTTAAACTTTATATATAGCTGATAATGGGGGGCTATTATAAATTACTTGACAGAGGAGTGACATGGTAAAAGTGGTCTTTTTGTTTGAGTTTAGACTAGAGGTAAGACTTCAGTGAGTGTAGCAGGAAGAATTGATGAAGATAGCTCTTTTGGATGGGGAATTCTTTGCCCCTTTTCTTTGATGTCAGAGCCTAAATGATGAATTGATCACTACCTGGATATAGGAAATGAAGAAGATGACACCACTTTTTCTAAACTGGGCAATGGAGATTTCTTGCGTCATTCAAAAGATAGAGAAGGTGTTTTAGGTGGGAAAGTTAATGTCAAAGTTAGATTGTGTGAGGTTGGAAATTTTTGATAGTGGGGCATAAAAATATAAATGTTCATTATGCCTCTAGAAACATGGACTGGGTCTCAGGAAAGAGGTCAAAATTATAGAGAAAAATTGAATTGGGGAAATATTACATTGATGTAAGTATGGTAACTATAAGAATAAATGAGAGTGGTAAGCAATAATTGTCAACTTTTTTCCACCCTAATATATGTGAGGAGCTACAAATTGCCAGCATAAATATCTTCCCTATCCTCCCTCTATTTCCCCACTCCCTCTTCCATCCCACTCCTCAGTAGACACAGAGAAAACAGGAATAAAGATTAAACTTGGTGCCCAGCTGGGCGTGGCTCAGCGGTTGAGCATCAACCTAGGATCCAGGCGATTGGGGTTCTATTCCCGGTCGGACACATGCCTGGGTTGTGGGCTCGATCAATGACTTTCTCATCATTGATGTTTCTATCTCTCTCCCTCTCCTTTCCTCTCTCTGAAATCAATAAAGATATATTTTTAAAAAAAATTAAACTTGGTGGGGAGGGGAATGCTAAGCATTAAGAGAGAGAGAGTGTTAAAGAAATCAGTATAGGCACAATTTGAGATGTGAATAAGAACTAGAAATAGGGAAATGTCATGATAATAGCCCGAGAGAAACTGTAATAAAAAAGTGGCTAGTTATCATTGTCAAATGCAACAACATCAAGGAGCTGGTAGAATAGGAAAGGTTGCTGAAAAGTTAAGATAATAGGATTCCACAGAATAGGTGGAAAGGTAGAACAGTCTCATTTTCTGAAGTAATGGAAGGAATGGGACAAGGTAGATACATACAAAGAATAGGTTATGTTAAGATAGACAGATGGAAATTGAGGCCTCATTTTCCCTTTTGGCAGAATAACAGTTGGCTTCATCAGTAATAACCATCAAACTTGTCAGTAATTAAGAAGGGGAGAGGTTATAAAGCATGATGGGTTGGTTTTATGAGAAAAGTACATTGTATTTTAAAGAGATTCTGATCTCTTTGGAGATTATGCCTAGGAATTTGAGGCATAAGTAGGAAGTAATGGATAACAATGAATAAATTAGGGTATTCTTTTTAAAAAATATATTTTTATTGATTTTTTAGAGAGAGGGAGAGAGAGAAACATCGATGTGAGAATGGAACATGGATCGGCCACTTCCTGCGCGCGCGTGCGCGTGCGCGCGCGCGCGCACACACACACACACACGCACACACACACACACACACCCCACCCCACCCCCCACCCCCCGGCATTGAGCCTGCAACGGGGGCATATGCCCTGACTGGGAATAGAACCAGCAACCTTTGGTGCATCAGACAATGCCCAACCAACTGAGCCACACCAGCCACAGCTAAAATTAGGCTATTCTTTAAAAGCTTTTAGTGTATCAATTTTGCTTTATTGTTGTTTTTCCCCAGTGGTTCTCTTATACTCGGAAATAGAAGCAGGAAGACTGGTTAGTTAGGGTTGTCAGGGATTGGGCTTTTCAAGGGTTGATTCACGAAGAGTAAGTGGAATTAGAGTTGAAAGTAACATAGCTGGTCATCTCTTTTGTGGGTATGAAGTAATGAGAAAATCAATAAATTGAACATTTGGGGAGGATTTGAGTGATTCAAAAGAAGTAAATGCTGTGGTTCTGGATGAGAGATGACAGTTGAAATGATCAAACAGGGTAAGTGCTAAGTTGGAAATGTTAGAGTTTTAATTTTAATTGATGGCTTTGGACGGCTGGAGAAGTAGGTAGGTGATCATTCATAATCTGTAAAATAGTTGATCTGTGATAATCCAACAAATTGAGAAAGAAGGAAAGCTATTCATTAAAT